GCCACTTCTCATTCGCGGATGCCAAAGGTGGCCTATTTTAATCCGCCTGTCCAACGAAATTCGAAACAACGATGAATGCTGAGTAGATGAGGATCGAGAAGGAAACCGCTGAGACACGATCTCCGCGTCACGTCCCACTTTCTTGTATACTCTTATTTTTCCGCGTTTCCGAAGCGTGACCTCCGCTCGGCTGTAAAATTACATGCCCATACGAAATTCTTCGGGGGCAATAAACGTACCAACTCATCACGAGGAGGTCAGTGTAACTTGATGGACAGAAAAACCGATCTTCAGTGCCTCTCCACCCCCTTCTTGGGTCCAGCAACCCCATCAACTGCATTACATACTTCAACCCTTCGCAGCCAAGTGATAATTATTTGTAGAAATGGGTTTCGCATGATTCTCGCTGTAAACAGCGTTAACCAGTTTGATCTCTCTAATGGAGAAGAGGTGTGTTTTCCTTGCGGTACGGACTGATTTCATAAGAATTACACAGATGAGGTTCGATCGAACGAAGACTCCACGCAACTTCTCTCCTTGTGCCAGTTTTAATGGTCCCATCTTCTCTTCAACTTACTCTAACCAGAACCTTCCTGACAACTTACTACCCCCCCCCTCTCTCTCTCATTCATTCGGCCTCAAACGATTAAGTACTGAAGGTTTCATAATTCGTATTCAACACGAAATTCCACTACGATGATCAAGTCAAGGTAGATGATATGGTACGAGGGAATCAGCAACCACACAAGGTTTGATTGGGAAACTTAAGGGGAAGACACTATTTGGAGAACCTCGACGTAGATGCGAGGATAATATTAAAAATACATCTTTCGCCAAACGGCTGTAACTGAATTCGCGCGTCTCAGAACAGGCCCAGCTGTGGGTTCTACTGAGCACGGGAATTCCTAGTTCTACCGAAGGCGTGTAGTTAAGCGACTATAAGCTTATCAAGAAGGACTCATCTGCTGCACGAATGTTTACGCCCAGCCCTGTCAGCAACAGATCTGCGTCTGTGTCTACAGAGTGAGCTTCAAGACTCACGAGAGGCAAAAGAGATGCGTTTGTGGGCCAGTGGAGCCTCAAAAACAAAGCCAGAACCAGAATAAAGATTCAGTTTCAACCACGCCCCGTCCCAAACCACAAAGCACGTAACTCAGGGTGCGAGACGGCTGTTGTTAGAATTGCCGTGGAGAACAACGAGCGGAATGTAGACACATGCCCCACATCGCCGGCAGAGCAGGAGGAGGTTGCTAACCGGTCGCTATACTCAACGTTAACGCCACGACAAAGAGGCAGTGGCGGATTTAAGACCGAAAATTTACTTTTTAACACGCAAAACGAAATATAATAATCTGTATGCAGTGGGACTGCTCGTGCATCTTTCGCGGTATATCCCTACCAAGGAGAGTGGTTTTGTGGCGACAAATGAAACTACTCTACTCACCATTATTTTTATTAGCGAGCGACATCAGCGCCATCACAGGATGGACAACCACTGACCTCTGATAGGGTATATCAGGGATTTCTAGTGTCAAGTCAAACTGACGGAGTTTCGTGAACGTAAAAACATCGTGCCACACTATGCTCCGCCATTAACAATACTAACATGGCGGCCGTGCGAACTCGGGAAGCTGAGGAATCGCCATCACTTGTAATGGCGCACATTTCTTGGCCATGGCTGCTAAGAGCAATCAATCATTAGCAGGACAATAGCGTGACGTCTCTATGCTGGTCACTCGAGCGTGTCAACGCATACAATGGGCTGAAACCAGACCGAGACCAATTTAAAATTCCGGGAACTGAGATCCACCATCTCGTAAAAAAAAACACACACAAAGAACCCTGAAAGTCGTCCCTGCCTTCAGATGCTGGGTCTGGCTTCTTCGCTAAAGCACTAGCTCAGGTGGAGACGAACGGAACAGCTGCTGGTCGCCACCAATCAACAGGTTTTCACAGTTATTAACAGAAGCCATCTCGTTTGCGCTGGTCCACTGAGTTAAAAGCAGCTGATCCGAATAAATCGTTCACACGGTCCATACGAACAAGGAAGCTTTTGTTTCGATCGTGCACGTCGAACTTTAAAAAAAAAAAAAAATCTCGCAGATTAGGTCGACTCCGGAACAGACGACGTCAGTGGCGATCAACGTGGGACCCGTTGAGGTAATTGGTTAATTTTTTCCGCAGGTCCTGAAAAGTAATCCCCAAGACCGAAGATCGATTCCCGCTAGGGCAGTCTGTCAACTAGAATTACCGGAAGGGTGACAAGTTTCGACTGCCAGGGCGAGCGTGTTCAGGCCGTCGGATAAAGGAAACGTGGACAACTGTAGCTTCAGGCGGAAAGGCTTGATGCACCCGGAAGCGGACGCGAAGCGCGGCGACTTGAACAGCCCATTTCCGGTGCAGCACGCGTCATTGTCCTACGTGACGGGGCATATGAAGTTTCCGAAACGTCAGGCCTTCTTCAGGCCGAATATCGCGTGTACTACCAACCAGTTACTAAGAACAATGGAACATTACAACTGGCTGACCAGTACTCCTGATTTTGTAAAGGTTTTACTTGATCTTACTCGGATGCTCCAGGAATGTGGTGGTACCTTAAAAAGTACAGTAAAACTGAACGTGTTGATCCTTGGAAATCCGAAGAGAGAGAGAGAAAGAGGAAATTGGTGGGGGAGAAGTGAGAGACACTTCGATATCTGGGGGGGAGAAAGAGCATCTTATAGCTAGAAGGTCCCCAGGCAATGCCCGCTCGTCCTTCTGTTAAGGATAAAGTAAGAGTGAAGGCGTTAGTGTGATGATTGGCATAAAAGGCGGAATTTTGAACTTTGTATTAGCGAAAGCTGAGGCTATTAATTTGGAAATTTAATTAATAGCCTCAGCTTTCGCTAAAGCCGAAGATCGTCTGAATATTATTTATGAATTCAGTCCGTACCGCGAAGAAAACACTACACCTCACCATTACGAAAATCAGCTGGTTAACCCTTTGAAGCCGAAGCTCGTCTTCATAATATTTACGAATCCAGACCGTACCGCGAAGAAAACACTTCACTTAACCATTAGAAGTCGAATCAGGCGGTACCACATAAGATTTAACAAAAGAACATCCCGGTCGAAGCCTTAATTCATATCCTTCCCAAGTGACCACCATTCGACTCTAAACAACCTAAGACACTGACAGAGGATCGTAAGTAAACAAAGGAACAAAGATTTCTGTCTTCTGGGTTGTTGCGCCGTGTAGTCTGGTAGAATATAAATGAAGCCTGCATGGCGTGTAGCGGAACGTCTTTACTTTTTTACATTACCACGCAAGAAATAATCAATTTTTGCTGTTACTTTGAAACAAATAAGAGTTCCCGCGCTGTGATCCACTTTCTGCTAATTCTCCACTACACGGACTTTCTTCTGCATAATTCAGTGTTTTGACATCTTAAACCTTTGTTCCAGCTCTTTTCTCCTTCAAGAAACCGAATACAATTGAACGCGGAGGCAGTGAGCCGTCTTCTTAAACGCTCGAAATATTTAGGTCGAGGGAATAAATGAGACCGAGTCTGTTTTTTCACAGACATTTACACAAACAAATGTTGCGGCCCCTGCAAGTTCCCTTTGGGGAATCCCTAGCGGCGAAATCACTCCAGAACGCGTCTCGTACTTGAGGTACGCAGCTGATAACGAGATTAGAAAACCTGGTGGTTCTTATAAAAATTGTTTCAATTCAGATATAAGAGCAATGATTTTCAATACTTGGGGACTGCGCCGGGGAGGTTCAAATCAGGTGGAGTAACATATTTCTTACGGTCAATCAATCTGCAGAAAGGTAAATCTCAAGTAACATATGTACCTTCGTGTGACATAAAGGAAAATTACAAACTAAATGACTAAATCTGCTGCCACTAGGAGCGCTGCCGCGCTACTTTGGTACGAACAGAAATGATATCAGTGCTGCCATCTACCGTACATTGTAGAACAAGAAAGATTAGAGGCGTTGCATAGAACCTGGAAATGGCCTTCGACAAAGAACGACACAGCTGATTGCACTCCGCCAGCGCGTTCGGGGGCAATGGCTTACCAATAACCAGTAATATGCGGTCACAACTAGAAAAAAAAAAAGAAGCCAGAATGCCATGTGTCCACCCTTGGCCCTTATCTGTTCTCGCCTCCTGCAACGTGTAGCATGACTCACACCTTAGCAACTAAAATGATCATGCACTACACGAATTAACACTCCCATCCACGTAACAAATGATAACGAAATGTCACAAGGTGTACAAGCGGTGCAGTAATACCAGACAGCCATCTCTTCAAACGGCACAGCCCCTGTGCCTACTGCTCAGATATATTACTATAAACGCTCACTCTACCAAAAAATACTTCACTGTACCAGCATATAAAATATTTAATCTTCAATACGATAGTGAATATGTTCAAAGCTTCGACATTTTATGTGACAAAACAGCAATGAATAACATGTAAACACGTGATACTCGAAAGTAACTTGGCTGAAATAAAACTAGACAGTCAACTATTTCTTTGTCCCTTAAAGTTTTAAAACAAGCTACAAAACAATGCATTTATAAAATTATTCACTCCAACAATAATGTTTCATACAGGTATACTACACAACGGAATTCAAGTTCACGCCGAAGACCGCGCCCGAGGAAAACTCTCGCGACCTGGTACAACGAATTATATAACATTGGTTATTACATAATACAAACTTACTTGCTAGAATTCCTGGCAGTATCTCCCAGGCCATCACTGTAACTTGTGGACGTCATTTTCATAGAACACAAAGATTTCTTCTCACTATCTTACTTTACAGGCTAACCACTTCCAACTACGCAAACTGTCGTTAGGCGCTCAATGCGCAAGTTGAATCTTGTACACGACACGTGATTGGTCCAAGCTCAGGACATGCTCAGCAATCACGACGTATAATTATACTAAAACATTTATATAATTATGAAAGAATAGTGCACATAATTAATTCACAGATGCAACAGTTACAATTAAATCTTTTATAAAAAAATGTAACAATAAATGAGTTTAGAAAAACAAGTGAAACCTGATAATTATATTTTTACCTATAGATGACAGTACTGATCATAGCAACAAATATGTCGCTATGTTGTTAGTGGGTGACGTTTTTACAGGTTATTTTAAACGTAGCTGATATTTGCTTATGCAGAAAGTGGATTTGTAAAGACGCATTGCTTGCCATAGGTATAATTTCATGTAAATATTAAATATTAAGCTGGTGTTTTGACCACAAAAGAATATGTTGAACCAAGCTGCCGTGGAAGCCCTATATTCAGCAACATATGTAGAGAATTATCTTGATTGCGTTGAAAACCTTCCTGATGATTTACAAAGACACCTTTCGCGAATGAGAGAGTTAGATGTCACATACCAAGGTACGTGTTTAACTGGTTTTGTTTTATCTTTTATTTGAATCCTGACTGATACCTAAGTTGGGAACCCTTAACTTCAAACAAGATCTGACAGGCAACTACCACAACACTTACGCCGACGTGAAACAGGTAGACGAGTTTTCCATTGACTTGGCACAAGTTAAAAAGTTACAGCAGAATTTAGGCCAACTGTGTTGGTAAGTTATAAAGTTTTGCTCTAAGTGTTTGTTGATAGAGTCACAGTTTCATATTGTACTGAAAGTTTGTGAAAAGGTAAAGTTAAATCTGCAGACAATTTTTTGCAGCGTTTTTAAAGGAGGTAGAGCAACAGCAGGAGTCATCACGACGTGATTCAGACTTGGCAACAAAGCGCCGCATCTTACTGCGCATCCAGCAGACTTTGATTGCTGCGCAAGAAGTGGGAGATGAGAAGCTTCAAATTGTGCAGACAATTCAGGACCTAATTGAGAATAAAGCACGGCAGCTTGAGCTCGACTACAGGAACTTGGGTGAGAGCATTTCATTTCCTGTTTCAGAAAGGAAATGGCAAAATAGAATTGTCTTATCAACTTTGGTTTTATTTGATCCCTTTAAGGGTGATGCGTTGGCAATTTTTGTTATTTATATTGGTACATAATAATCTTACCTTCATAATTAATGTAGATTTTTACCCAAAAAAGTTACGTTATTTTAGGAAAGCAGTGTAATAATATTGTACAGCAGAAGGTTTCAATTTCGTACTGAAATGCATCTTTTGTTGACTGAATTGAACCCTGTAAAATAGATCATGAACAGGAACTTGATTTTTTCATCTAACAATGGTGGAAAGTTATGCAATGATTCCTTAAGTCTACAAAGTAACATGAATTTTCTGGTTGAAAGAGATCACCTTGAAAATAATACGTTTTAAAAATTGCAAAAGTATAACACAGGAGTTACCATTAGTGATGCCACAAGAGTGAAGTTAGTCAGGAAGATGTCCATTATGGCTGGCAAGTGCTGGTGAAAAGTAAGGAAACCTGGGTCATTGCTTGTGAAAATACCTGATGATGTTTGGTTGCAGACTTTACCAAGGACCAGGAGAACACAGAACCGAACCGGGAGAACCACCACCATCACCACCACGGTTTGGGGAACTCAAGTGGTGGTGGCGGAGGTGCATCTAGTGCCGGAGAACGGCAGTCTAAACGCGCCAGACGCTCGCGCACTGAACAGCTGACAACAGGCATCGACGCTGGCAACACTGCCGATCTGCTGTCACCACCAGAAGCTGCATCCACTAGAGGGGGCGGCAGTTCGGGAACCACATCGGGAGGCACGGGCGGTGGTGGCAGTAGTGAGCGTAAGAAAGGTGGCAATGCTGGCAAGAAGAAAAAGCGCAAGTCTCGTCAGTCGCAGCAACAACAGCAACAGCATGTCCAGCAGCAACGAGATGAATCGCCACCCCACGAGGATGAACTTGCTATTGATCCAGATGAGCCCACCTATTGCCTGTGTGACCAGATATCATATGGAGAGATGATACTATGTGACAATGACCTTTGCCCCATAGAATGGTTCCACTTCTCATGTGTAGCCCTTGCCACTAAACCGAAGGGCAAGTGGTACTGCCCCAAATGTCGGGGCGACCGCCCCAATGTCATGAAGCCCAAGGCTCAGTTTCTGAAAGAACTTGAAAGGTATAATAAGGAAAAGGAAGAAAAGTCATAAGTAGCATCTGGACTTAAGTGGCTGGCAAAATCTCAAGTATCTTTTATCATCATTTACATCAATTCATGTGTAGCATTGCTATCTTACTTTTCTGTCTTAGAATCAATTTTTTATAATTTATGTATGATTACCTCACATTGGGGTTCAAAACTAATATTTAAATTAATTTTTTAAACATAACTAAAATGATAAGTACTCTCTTCTTCCAGTGCATACTGATTAACTGTATGACATTTCAACTCTTGCTAGAAGTACGTGCTCAAGAATTTTAATAAAGCTTTGGTAAATTTCAGTAAATTGTACCATTTCCTTGTCCTCTCCTTCAATAGTTGCACAAAGGGAATCAACTTATAACCAGCGTTACATGGATCTTATAATATTCTAGGGTTAGTTTTGGAATGTACATTCTATGATGTTCCCTGGAACAAATCATAAAGACACTCTCTATAAATTGACCATGTTTTATTGCTGTGTATCTGTCTTTAATCAATGGAATTGGTAGCATACATGGAGAAAATGAATCCGTATAAAATTTTGCTCGAAGTAGATCAGCGAGCTGAACATATAGCTCAGACGGGTGAGAGAAAGCCTATGCCGAAAATTGTGATTGGAAAAAGTCTGAGACAAAGGACACTTGGGAGACCAAAAATAAAATGGGAGGATAATATTAAAATTAATTTTATGGAAATATATTTTGAGAATGGGAGATGTAGTGGGTCACAATCTTATCCAATTTCAGGTTTTGACATTTAAGAGTGCTGACATTTGGGAACTGCTACAGGGATTTGGTTATATGTCATGGAACGAGACCATCTGGTATACCTAGATATTGCTCTCATGTGAACTGGATTAAACTGTTTCAAGATTAGGATTTAGTGTTAGGCTTCTGTGAATAATCTGAACTTCCATAAACTGACTAAATGTGACACGCTGAAGTAAAATATGACATGTATATGTGCTTTATATTGCAATGAACAAACTACAAACTCGCTGATATGGTCACATTTTTCCATACTAGGTTATGGTACAATATCATACAGAAGTGCAACACCAGGGGGCACTTGGCTGCATATGGCACGTACACTGCGACAGTGTCACTCCACGATTCACTCGCTGATTTAATTATTCAGTTTATTTAACGACACAGTTTCAAAACGTTGAACAGGAGAAGTCGCAGCATATTCTAAGCAACTGCTGCAGCATTTGTATGAAGGAAAATTTAGTATATAGGACTAAGTGACTCTCGTAAGGACTGAAAAATTATTATTCATGGGTCACAGCATGTGTTGGAATATTTGTCTATGCTTGGTTGCACCTTCTTGGAAAGCTGTTATCACTCCACTTGCCACACAGACTGAAGGGAAATATTTCAATTTATATGAGCCAGTCTGACAGATCTCTTATAAAGTGCACTGCGAGTATGGGAACGTGCGTGATGCGGCTGTACACTGACACTGCTTTTTTTCCCTGAACCAGGGTATCGCGCACAGATTCCCGAAAGAAAATTCTGATATTCTATGGAGATGTGAATTTATATGAACAGCCATTTCCATTTCATATTAAAAACATTTCATCAATAATAAATTTATGCTTACAATCTAACATCTAGTTTGGCATGATATTTTCTGAACAAAGATAATTTAGAGAACTGAGAATTTGTGGTGGATGACTGGGTTCCCCCACCCCCTCTCTTTAGGATGTTTAATTAAAACTAGCTCAGTACCATCATTTACATGGAAAGTTTCACTAATAAGACAAGGTAATGCATCTGATCGCAGTGTCTGGCGATATGCAGTCCTCATGTCCCCTTCAACAACAGTTGTACTACACTATACAGTCAGGTGACAGATACAAGTGCTGGCTCATTTCGTATCTGATATGCTTCATCCCTGATATCCTGAAATGTACATTTTATATTGCACTACAAACTTCATCTCAACTGAGGTAAAGTTTCGTGAAGTGGTTTCCTTCACAAGACAAAGTGTTGCAATGAGACAAAAACACAATGACAGCATGTTGCCCTTCAACAACTCATTTGTCAGCTGAAAAATCAGAAGCAAAACTGACCTCATTTATTTATAAATGTGGTCCATATTTCTCAAAAAGCGTCTTTATTAATGTCACAGTCTGTATGATTTAGATTAAACTAGGTACTGTCTTGATACAGTTTTAATTAGATGGGAGGGGGCCAGGATAATGAAGCACACATGAGTGAAACAAGAAATCAATAGAGAATATTGTTTGGAAATCTCAATAAAATATACTACTTGGAGAACTAAGTGTGGACAGAATAATAATATTAAAATGAATTGAATAGGTATAGAATTAAGATGGGTTCCAGTGTGAATTTCTTCAGCAACTGAAACAAATGAAAGCCTGAACACCATAAATATCGGAGATTGTTGCCCTACACAACATTAACTGCCTTTTCTTTGTAATGATTATGTGTTGTGTTTTCTTTCAGCTACAAACCATATTCTTAAATGTTTTACAGATGTTGAAAGGGTGAAAAGTTTGTGCTTTTATCTCACACTCTAGCAATGTGAAAGAACTTTTACACGATTGATAACTTATATCTAAAGATTCATCAACTGCAACTATTTTCATTATAAGTCCTGAGTGATATTTCCTACTTCAAGAGCCATTTTCCTTTTGTGTCTTATCTCAGTACTGAGTCAATTTAAATGTATGTGATTTTACACTTATATTAACATACAATATACTGGCCATGTTTCATGGCAATTCAACAATTCCAAAATGCTGTCAAACTGTGCCAGATGTGTTTTAAAAAGTTGCGAATATACTTTGTAATTGATTAATGATTTTGAAGATATTTCCGACATCTTCCATATCTCTTTCATCTTGTTTTACAAACATAATAACCTCTCTTATTAAATAATTCAGCTTTAAAACTTCTTAACATTTAATTAAAACTACAGCCTGATTTTAAACTGTAATTTCATCAAAGTAATTTTTGAGCACAGAAATTTTATCACCAATAATCATGCATAATTAGTTTATAAGATTTGAGGTTATCACTGTGATGTTGGTCTTCTGGATTATAATGCTGTGTGGTTTTGTATGAAGATATCAATATGGAGGAATGTATCACCCTCATCTTCAGAGCTGGGGTGGTATGTTCCTCCAGAATGTTGGTAATCAGCCACAAGACTATAAAGAATCACAAACCAGGAGACCACAGTCGTCATTTCAATGCATTTGGAACCTCAGAGCTCAGAAAACAAACTCTGTTCATCACCACTACTCTAATGTAGCAGAAAGATTTGTACTGATTTTTATGAAACACTCAAATTTCTGATTACAAACCAATGAACAGGCTTCATATATATAAAGGTTTACAAGGATGTCGTGTGAGACGACAGATATTTGTAAAGGTTGGTTGGAATATTTTCAGTTTCATCGTAGGCATTTTAAGGTCTGTAATTGTTTAAAATTTCATCCACTATCATGTTTATAATATTTTACCCCAGAATGTTATTATACAAAAAAAAATCAGTATATACCTTAGAATTTTAAATAATTTCCTGTTTTATAAATAGTCTTGACTGAGCTCTGTAACATTTAAATTTTGTTTCATAAATACATTCTACTTTGCAATTCTCTGATACATGTTTATTGCTGGTTTCTGTCTAAGCTGCTGATATTTTTCTCTGGTTATCTAAGGTGTTGTTACTGGCATTACATGTGCTTTACACTGTGCTGCTGTTTGTTATTGGCCATGATAACAATGCCTCCTACCAGTTTCCCGTCCTCTTCTTCATCTTCATCATCTGCAAATTTAATGTCATCTTCTTCCAGAGATTTCTCCACTCGTGTCTCCTTCTCTCCCAGACCATTCTGCCACCTGGTGGTCAAGTTACTATCCTTTATAAAACATTGGTTATTCCGTACCATCTCCTTACTCTCAATGTCCTGCCGTCTACTTGTCAAAGGGATAAATTCTGTAATATCTTCCATGCCACTTGTTAGTTGGTGCTGTGACCTGACAGACGGTTGTCCATTCTGTGCTTTGGGTATAAACTCTGTGAGGTCATCGCTGTCACTAGCCGACTGATGCTGTGACCTGGCAGCCATCTCAAGCACCTCGCCATCTTCCTCCCATTGACCTGGTGCAAAAGGTGGGATCCAGATGAGGTACTGTGGGTCCATGCCCAGGAAGGAGCCGGGCACGGCCCCTGCGTTGCTGACGTTGTAGTCATAGTAGTCCAGCTCGAGGTCTGTGTCTGCTGCGGCCAGGCTCAGCTCAGAACACCCGCCAGCCAGCAACCGCTCCAAGTTGCACTGCTCCTTGCGCTCCTTTGCACTGTTTTTTTGTCGGGTGTTCGGTGAGCTCCACCCCTGGCAGATGGCAAAGAGGCAAATGAGAAATGGAAGTACAGGGCCATTACATGGTAATGTTTTAAATCTGTCCTCCTTGGCCAAAGAGATTTATTTATTTATTTATTTATTTCAGAGTGAGATGCAAGTTACTTGGCACTGCAGCCTCTGGTGAGTTGGCCTGTTATTGTACCAGTGGCTATGTACGGCAAAGGACTTGGAAGGAGGTCGACATTTGCGTAGTATGACCAAGGAAGACTACATCAAAGCAAAAGACAGCTGGTAGTGAAGTCATGCTCTGAATCAGGTAAAAGTAAAAACATTTGTCCCTGTGCTCAAGCACACACTATGAACACACACACACGGGGAAGTACAAGTGAAACTCCGTGCATTCTTAAGCTTGGCCTTGGACTTCGGAGATCAGCTATAAGCCACAAGCTCTGGCTGTTCAGTCCAAACATCCAAACATGATGGCAAAAGTAAAAATCCCTGTCTCTGCTTGGAATCAAACACGAGTCCTCTACCTCAAGGACGTACGACTTTGCTGGCTGAATCACGCCGGACACCTCCAAGATATGTTTGAATGAGCAATGCAAACCTCTTCAGAAACAGCTTACATGTTAGCCACAGGAAACAATAAATAATCGCCGTGTTGGCTAATAGTACCACCAGCAATGTTGAGTACTCACATTGTTTAGGGTGGCAACACTGCTGCTTGAAACAGCACTGCTAGGGATAGTACTAAGTGAGGAATTGAGATGCCACTGTTTTGACCTAGGGTGAGGCTTCTCTGTTGGACTTCCCCCCTCCTTTCTCAGCACACTGCATGCAAAAGACAAACACTCTGTTAGTCCCATGATAAGGCAGGTTCAAGTGTTGGAAAGACAAGGACAACTTGGGGTACCTGTGGTTCTGGGGTGGTATCTCCTGGTCAGCCTTGTCAGGGATGAAGGTGGTGGATCGGCGCAGGGGGGCAGGGGATGCTTTGGGGGTGCAGGGCGGCGAGGCGGCCGGTGATGCCGCGTCTGACGCCTGATCTGCTGCCGGCTGCTGCTCTTGGCGGTGAGTTGTGGTACTACTGTCTCCTATGACTTCATATTCCCTACGGCACACACCACAGTGAGTCTTCTGTTAGGTCACATGTTAAACTGAACGTAAATCCATAGTCACGCATTTGTCCTATGTGGATCCATAGCAACTACTGAGAGATCAAACATTCAGAGGTTGAATAGGAAGCTGCATGGAAGCATGCTTCTTGCTGCAAGTGTGATGACAGGAAGATTTTCCTTGTGTCAGATTCGATGCGTACAGCTTGGCATGGGTGAAGATTTGCAATTTGTAATTAGCAATAGACAGTTTTAATGGGAAACATATATTTTCATCATCACATTCTGCTGCAGAACTCACAGCTCAGAATCCTCTTCTTCTTCCTCCTCATCATGAAGTCTGGTGTGGAATGCAGCGCGGCCAGACCGCAGCTTCCCCAGACCGATAACCTCGCTTAGCAGAGTGGAGCGCGATGGAGCAGAGCCAAGTTCGCTCTCCTGTGACATGGCCAGTTGGTACTTCTGGTAGCGGAACAGCGACTGAGCAGCCAGTAGCACCGACACCAGAAGAACAACAGCCACGAACACAGCGGCCAGTATGTGCACAAGGGACAGCGTGGGGCCGTCTGCCGTCATGACTGCCATTTCGTTTAAGGACACGGTCGTGTTCCTGGGTGGAGGAGCTGAAGCAGTGGAAATGTTAAGTTTATTACAGTCACACAATTATGAGATTGGCCAACCTTCCAGTGAGGCGTGTCTTGCATTATGCCTCATACTCCTGTGACACAGCATTGAGCCAGAATGTTCCAGTCAGTGACACGACTCACTATACGACAGATGCAGGAGTTTTTCTGCATTAAGACTGAGTACAGACCAGCGCTGGGGCCCACTCAAATTCCCATCCAATAGGCAGGAGACTGTCCTCAAGCAAGAGTGGCCCAAATGCAAAGTTAACTATTGCAGCTCCATCCTTTGCTGTGGTTAAACTTCAATTACAAAAAGGGGACAGACGCAAGATACAAAGGTTTGTTAACTGTGAGATGGTGCCATTACCTATCTGCTGAGCGTGGGCGAGGAAGCTGCCGAGACAGGTAGAGGGAACGTCATCTGAGAAAAACTCGAGAAGCATGTAGTTAGAAGTGGACATGAATGGGTGAGACGCCATGCGACCTGACAGATAAGCCACCAAGGTCGCTCCGAGGGAGTCGCCATCCCGAACTTTGAGCCACTGCCTTCCGCATGGCAGCTGCACGTGCGCCACGTTTAGCCGGATCACAGACCCCTCATCCGCCTGCAACAAGGGCCACATTCCTGTGAGTTCGGCATCAATATTGAGCCTAATGACATTTTTGCATGACAGCACTTGAGCAAGCTTAACTTTGCTGTGACAGGCAGCATTACTCGAGGAAGAGTTACGCTGGAATGTTACGGGACTAGACGGCAGGCAGGACGTCGGTGAGACACAGTTCAATAATGATCACTATGGACGACTATTATATGGTGGAAAATTATGCATTTATTTATCATTGTGCGTGGAGTAGTGCATTACAGAAACAGGGTCAGTCTCCCTGATGAAGGCAGAATATCGAACTGCCTATGTCAGTCTTCGTACTGCGTGAATCAGCCTACAATCCTCGCTGCCACAATAGTTAATCCGACGCATGAGACGTAAACCGTCTAGTAGAAATCGTTCAGTCTAACCCGCCGTGTAGCTGTGCCGGAGAAGTTGCCGCATGAGCACGGCGATACCGTAAAGCTTTCGAAGTACGTGCACGAATTGGATGTTGAATGTCTTGTCAGTAACACTGAAGTTCTTTGCTGCGTTCACTCGGGCAAATGAGAGCCCAGGTTTGCATGAAGCCGCTAACAGACTGACCTGGATGAGCCAGAAGGTTCTCCCGGGGCAGCTGTCCGTCGACGTGGCGACCAGGCGCCTCGGCTTCGCGACCCCCAGGTGAACGACACAACCACAGCGACACCCGGGTCCCACCTCGGCGACGACCCCCGGGTGGCTGGCGGGTAGAGACGAAGAGGATGAGAGGAGACAGCCCCAGGACTCAGAGCCACTTCCACAGCGCTCCGACTCCAAGGCGGGTCCCTGAAAGATTCACTGCGCTGGAGCATTAAATATTTTCAGATCTTCCACCTTTACGTATTTCCCTGGCGTAACGCACGAATTCATCCAAGATTCAACACTGCGCCGTAACTTAATCTGTTTGCTCACGTACCTCGCAGAATCTGGCGCCGTACCTGGGGGGCGGCGAATCGCAAAACCGGTACCTGCTTCGTGTTCCACCCCCACAGGAGGAGGTGCAGTGCGTCCAGGAGCTCCATCCACCCCACCCACCGGTGTCCGAGTCTGCAACACGACACAGAGTACTGACAGCGGGAAGCAGGCGAGAAACGAGCTGTTTCAGGAGCTGTTAGCCGGGCTAATACGGCTAACATGAAGCTATGCCCCCTACAGAACCTTACCTACGAAGAGGAAAATGAAGGACACTGAGAAAAGAGTGGAACAGCGGAATGAATTAAAAGGAAAATAAATAAAGACGAAAGACTGAGAGAAGATGAAAATATTTTTTAAAAAAGGAGAATGAGAACCAGGGCCACACAGTAGCTGTGAT